AGAGAGGAGAGAGAGAGAGAGAGAGAGAGAGAGAGAGAGAGAGAGAGAGAGAGAGAGAGAGGAGAAACAATAGCACAGGGTAGTGGGAAAAACACAAGTTTTCAAGTCAACCCTGGGTTCAAATTTTAGACCTGCTTCTTGTATGATCTTAGAAAAGCCACTTCCTTCTCAGAGTCTCACTTTCCTCCTCTGTAGATTTAGGGAGTCAGACTAGCTTGATTAGCTTCACTTCCTGCTTTGTACCCTGGAGAAACCACCTTGCTGTGCCTCTGCTCTATTGATGACTCTCTTCCCCCAACCATTATTTCAGGAAGCACTCCAGTCATGCTTTATCACTGGCAGCCTCTGACCCAGCTCACTCTCCTGTCTCATCGTCTTCCTGGCCAGCTGCCTTTCCAATCTGGGGAAAATTCCACCCGAGGCACTGCCTCAACTACCAGCTCTTCTACTTCCTACCTGTATTACACTGGATGTCATTAAGTTCTCAGGGCTTTAGTTTCTTCCTCAGTTTTAAACAAGGGGGGCTGAGCGGTATGATCTCCAAGGTTTTTTCCATCTCTAAACCCCATGATCCTCCTCTTGCCAGGCCATCTGCTTTCAGAGTACCAGATATCATTATTACTCACATGGATAGAAAGCCCCCATCTAAGCACTTAAAAATAAAGCACCCATATCAACCCACAAATATTAAGTATGCAGCTGCTACATGAAAAGTACTTTATAAAGTGTTCTTAATCTGGGATCTATGGACTTTTTTATTTATACCTGTGTTTCAATATAATTGGTTTTCTTTGTAATTTTGTGTTTTATTGTATTCATTTAAAAACATTATTTTAAGAAGGGTTCCATAGGCTTCATCAGACTACCAGAAGAATCCATGACACAGAAAAGGTTAAGAACCCCTGCACTTTACTAAGCACCTTGGGTTTATAGAAGTTAACACACAGTCCCTATCCTTGTCTATAATATAGATGAGATTGACATTCAGAAAACAATTAGAGAATAATACTTGGCAATGTATCCTTCAATCAGTTGACAAACATTTATTAAGCACGTACTAAGTGTCAGGCACTGCCCTAAACCCTGGGGATGTAAATACAAGAGTGAAACAGTTCTTGCCTCTGATCTTACAGAACATTCTACAGGTAAGATACAATACCTACACAGAGAAGTAAGTACAGGATTCACGAAAAATAAATGCAAAGTGATTGGTCAAAGCATTGACAAATGCGGAAATCAGGAAAGACCTCTGGATGGAGGTAGTACCTGGGCTAAGTCTTGAAGGGAATTAGTGCTACCAAGATGTAGAGGTGAAGAGGAAAAGCAATCCTGGAATGGAGGTGGGTTGGAGAGGAGGGTAGGAAATGGAATATCCTATATAGAATAAATAGGTCAGTGTGGCTGAAACATAGAGCATGTTGGGGTGGGAGAGGGAGTGGAGTAAAGTCTAATAGCTTTTAAATGCAAAACAGAGAGGTTTGTGTTTTATCCCAGAGGTAATGGGGAGCCATGGAAGCTTCTTGAATAAAGGACTAACATGATTTCCTCTGCAGGATATCAGTTTAGCAGTTGAGTGGTGGGTGGCTTGTAGAGGAAAGAAGGTAAATCAAAAAGGAACCCTGAAAAGACTATATTGTGATGGTCCTGGGGAAAGGTTATCATGGTCGGCACTAGGGTTATTGTAGTATGAATAAAAAGAAGAGGCTAGAAGTGAGGAATGTTGGGGAGGTATGGTTTTACAAGGTTTGACACCTGATTAGGCATGAAAGGTGAGTGAGAGTGAAGAATGGAGGATGGCTCCTAGGCTGTGAACCTGGGCAACTAGAAGAACAGTGGCATCCTTGGGAAATAAGGAAATTTAGAAATAGTGAAGTCAGAAGAAGGTTTGGGTTTTTTTTTTAAGGGGAAAGATGAAGTTAGTTTGGGATGTGCTTGGTTTGAGGTACCTATGGGACATAGGTAGAGAAGTCTAGCAGGCAGCTGGACACTCAAAGTTTTAAATGATGTGACAGAGATAAAAAGTAGAATACATCAATACCCAGTTCCTAGCTCATATTGAATTAGGCTCTAGCCATCTACCTATGCTGACAGTCAGAGTAGTATAGGGCAGGGAATAAGGGACTTGGAGTCAGGAGAGACCTACTTTCAAATCCATCACTTACTAGCTGTATTACCATGGACAAGTCATGAGCTTCAGTTTCCTGGTTTGTATAATAGGGGAAATAATACTTGTATTACCAAAGTTTTGCTGGAGGGAAGCATGAGTTTTTATTATTATTTCTTTTTACAGATGGGGAAAACCAAGAGAGAATAAAAGGTTTGTATCCAATGAACCACTATTTTATAGAGCAAAGCCAAGTTTCCTGGTTCTCTTTAGTCTCTCTCTCTCTCTCTCTCTCTCTCTCTCTCTCTCTCTCTCTCTCTCTCTCTCTCATACACACACACACACACACACACACACACACACACACACAAATACATAGAAACAACCAGCTTGAAAAGTAAGGAAGAACAAGTCCCTGGTTAACATAGGATTAAGATCCCAGAGAAAATTAAGTTAAAAATAGAATACACAAATTTTGTATTAGTATCACCAAACCATTGTGAAATATAATTCAGTGGTATCTGGCAAATACATCTACTAATTTTTCAAATGGAATCAGAGGCTTACAGACCAAGAAGGTATAGGCTAGTACCTTCCTAATCTATGCCCTTCACCTTAACCCTTTAGTCTCTTCTTAGATTCTCTCTGGTTCATTCCAATCACTTTAAGTGAAAGTCTTGTTTTTAAATTTTTTTTGGCCCCAAGACAAGAGGGAGAATGAAGTCTGGGCTCCAATTCATATCCCCTTCCTCCTCAGCATAATGCTATTTTCCAGAGATGAATGAGGAGCAGCAAGTAGGAGGGAGGGGTTGGCTTTTATTTTAAGTATTTTAAGCCATGCTGCCTTCTTTTCCTTCCACTCCTCGACATTTAAGACATTTAACGTATTCCCAATATTAAGGCAAACTAGGCCTATTAGACAATTACCTAAGGGAGTGGGGAAACTCGGCTCTGCACCATAAAGCCAATGAAGTTATGACAGCTCTGACCCAGGAGGAATCAAAGCCGAATAAAACCTGTCGGGGTAGCAGACAAATGATGATAAAGTGATGGCTTTCACCAGCACTCAATGGAAATTGACAAGGTGAACCTCCCCAACTAATGAACAGATCCAACCTTTGCTACCAATGAAATGCACGGCAACTTTCATCTCAATAAGGATCAAAATAAATTTGCTCCCACATTTGAAAATATACAGGCAGGCAACAGAATGACAGGCTTCACAGACTCTCGTGCAGCGGGCCCCAGGGGAGCGCAAGGCAGGCAAGCTGCCGCTGCTGACTGGATCCCAGGTGCACCCATTTGTACTGACATAACAATACCTACTCTCTCTAACCTCCCCCCCACCCCCAATTGAATTTCAGATGCAACCTACGTCACAGAGACCCTAATAATACCAAATGCAATTGTCTGGATGACTCCTATTAGATCCGTGCATTTCTGGATTCTTATAGAGTAATATCAGTTACAGAACAATGACAGCGTGACAGACACCACAGTATTGAAGGAACCCGAGCAGGAAAAAAAAAACACCACCACCAGCCCGCCCAACACAATGGACCAGCTGCACATTAATAAATATGTAATGTTTGATTAAAAATATGGATAGTATTTTTTTTCCTCCCCAAATGCCGACCAGCCCCGAGGCGGAAGATGCGATCTGGCTCTCGGTGACGGCTTTCTTTCTTGCTTGCTTTGAAAATACCAACTCAAATGTTTTCCTGTCCCAGCTGTTTCCCATTGTTCGTGTTTATCAGCTCGAAGGATGAACAGTGGAATAAAAAATACGCTTGCATTTCAAATGTGCCAGTCAGTCAATCTATTGTTAAAAGAAGAAAGCTTAATTGTCTCTGCTGGCAAACTTCTTTTTGGTGAATGTCCAGTTTTTAAGAAAAGCTATTCAGCTGTGCAATTTGTTTAATACATGCAGAGAAAAGCATATAAAATCACACGTTTTCTGGAAAAAAAAGAGGGAGAAATTTTTAAGAGGGAGTTACATATATAGATGTTCTTGAACTCATAAACCGGCCACAGCATCCTCAAGCCCTCTCTCCTAATTCCCTCTTTTGGAAGGAAGAGAAGACCCTAAAAAGATCCCCACCCAAAGTCTCGGGCTCCGCCAGTGCAAAGAAGGTGTTTACTAAGAATTCTGGCAGCGCTCAAACCAACTCTTCCACAACAGAGACCACAAAGACTTTTCAGTAGCAACTTTCTCCTCACGAAGAATTAAGGAATTCTAAATCTTTGGTTATTGTCCTTGTTTTCTCCATAGCTTACATTAAACCACCTTGTGCTTTCTAGGACTGTTTTCCAGCCAGCAGAACTTCCAGAATTAAGTATGCAGAAATTAATTCTGGCAAGAAAAATTTAAACAACCAAAAGATTTTTAGAGTGAGCTCAATTGCTGACAGGTTTGACAGTCTGCTTCTTATCTGTCTGTGGCAACTCATCTGGTGTGATTTCAGGGACCCTGAGAAGATGAGCTGTACTTGCCCCTTTCTGTCCTTTACCTGCTGATTCTGACCTGAAATTGCTTTCAAAAAGATAAAGGCATTCTTTCCAGGACCAGAAAAAAAAAATCAGGCTTAGAATTTTACCCTATCTCTGTATTAGAGATTACAAGGACTTAAATTTATACTAAGCTGTAAAAAACTGGTGTGGATATGTATATGCGCTAGATGGCCACACACCTACTGTCCAGAGATGGACCTGGATAACTTTCAGTGAGTAATCAACAAGTCAGCAAATACAAATGTATTAAGCAATTACTATGTGCCAAATATAAAGGCAAAAACAGCTCCTGCCCTCAAGGAGCTCACATTCTAATACAAAGCTCCCCACCACTGCAGCCTCATGGAGATAGAATTTTGACCATAGCAACGTTCAGACTTTCTACTAGCCATAGAAGGGTTGAAATCTGAGTCCAAAGAAAATTGTACACCAAGAAAATTATAGATACTATTAATACAGAGGTATGATTTTTTTCTAAAGAACTGATTGGATGTCATAGAATATTAGGAGTATAAGGACTTTCTTATTTTAGAGATAATAAAACTGAGACCCAGGCACAAGTGACATACCTCAAAGTCATACGCTGTAATAGTAGCAGACCTAAGGCTATAGTCCAGCTCCTCTAACATCCTCAGTATTCATACTGAGAAGAGAACTAGATAGGCATCAAAGAGAGAAAAGGGATGGCCATGTAACTAAGCAAAGGACACAAAAAGGTGTTTAAGAACTCAGAAACCTACTGCAGAAATATCCCTGGGATTGGTTCCATGCATCTGTCATGCACACACTCGTATACATACATTCAAGATCATTGGTAGAACCTGAAGGAAAGAAGGCAGCCAATCTCCCAGTATATGGAAAAGAACTTTGGAAAATGAAGATTGTTACAAAAAATGGTCCAGATCCCTCAGGTCCAAACCTTCCAACCAGGTTCCCTCGAAACCGCATGTAACATTGAAGGAAGAGAGTCACATTTGTAAAGGACAACATCTCTCTGTGCAAGCAGGACATCTGTTCTGAAAACCAAAACCAGTGAACAAGGATGAATGGAGGCATCACAAAGCAATAGAAAGAAAACTAGTCAGACTAGTAGGCAAGACATCTCGGTCCTCCTCCTGTCTACACAATTAATCTGAATGGCCTAGGATGACTCACTTCCTCTGAGTCTCAGTCTCCTCATCTGTAAAATTAAGAAAATACCTATGCTACCTACTTTGAAGGAGGTTTGTGAATACACATAATACCTCTCATTGATGAAAATACTCCCTCTAATGGTATTCATCATAAACTTCACCTTCCCTCCTTGTTCACCTCTTGTCCATGTATTCCTGTAAACCTTCCACAGGCCGTCCAACCAATATGCTGGAGGCATTGCTCCTGATATGACCAATGCATCAGGCAGGCTTTTCATCATTTATCCATTACTCTAAATACTTCAGCAGTCCACCTACTTTCCAGTCCTGCATCTCTCAGATGACCATTTTTGCACTACATATACGGCACAATTCTTCATTGGTGATATATTGCATCCCAGTCACATCCACCATGTATTTCTCCATTTCAGTGAACTGTGATTTTAATTTTGGGGGAGACTTTTACAGTTTCATGACTCATAGCCATACGATATCACCAGTAGAATACTGATGTTTAAAAAGAATGGGTTTTATTTCTCAGAGATACATAGGGTCACTGAAAGCATCATCAAGTTTTACAAAAGCACACCATATTCCTCTTACAGGGTTCTGGGCTCAGTTAGTTGTCCGAAGCATAGGCTTAACTGTAGGACATTCTTCATTGATTTGACCTTTCCTGTGAGGATAGTTAAGACAAACTCTTTTGTGCAGTCATGGATATCACGTAGGAGATTCTGCAATGTTCCAAGGAAATCAGCATGATGGTATACGCAAACAGCAGCATGTGAGGGACATTGCCATCCTATAAAGAATATTGCTTCTGCTTGGACTCTGCAGTAGACATCCTCTGTGACAGTGGCAAGTCATCCATCTCCTTGTTTTATGCCTCACTTGACAGTAATAATAAGAGAATCATACAGAAAAAATGAAATAATAGATGAAAATAGGCTTTGAAAAAGTCAAATTGTATTCAAATGCTCATGTGTGATTTCAGTAGAAAAAGCTATGGTTTTAGAGTCAGAAGAACTGAATTTAAGACTAGATATGTCACATATGTTACTAGATATGTCACATCTCTCAGCCTCAGTTTTCTTAATCTGTAAATGGGGGAAGGGCAATAATACTTGTACTATCTAACTCAAGAGCTGTTGCAAGGAAAATGTTTTGTGGATCTTAAAGCACCATAGAAATATGATCTTACCCATTGACTTCTTTTCTAATGCCTTCAAACTTGCCTAAATCTCCCCCATCCTTAAAAAAATTCCCTTTACTTGACCCTACCATACCCTCAAGCTCTCCTCCTATATATCTCTCTTCCCTTTCACAGTTAAACTCCTAGAAAAAGCTGTCTACACATAGTCCTTTCACTGTCTTATCCTGTGCTCACTTCATGGCCCCTAGAAATCTGGCTTCCATCTCCACCACTCAGCTAAAACTGTTCTAAGGTCATCAATAATCTCTTTATTGTTAAAGCCAATAGCGTCTTCTCAGTCCTTATTTTTACATACCTCTTTGCTGCATTCAAGACTCTTGACCACCTTTCCTTCTGATACTCTCTCCTTTATGAGTTTTCATGAAATTTAGCTGTTGTATTTCTCCTAGTTATCTGACCAAATTTTCTATTTCTCCTCTGCAGGATCATCACCCATGTTCTGCCTTCTATGGGTAAGTGCACTACAGGGCTCTATCCTGAACTGCTGCTGCTGCTGCTGCTGCTGCTGCTGCTGCTGCTGCTGCTACTGCTACTGCTACTGCTCCTTCTTCTTCTTCTTCTTCTTCTTCTTCTTCTTCTTCTTCTTCTTCTTCTTCTTCTTCTCCTTCTTCTTCTTCTTCTTCTTCTTCTTCTTCTCTTCTTCTTCTTCCTCCTCCTCCTCCTCCCTTTCCTCCTCTTCCTCTTCCTCCTTCTCCCTGTCTCTCTGCCACCATCTCTGTTTCTCCTTTCCTTAATGATCCCATCAGCTCCTAAAGATTCAACTATCATCAGATGACTGCCAAATCAACATATTCAGTTACTATCTCTCACCTCAGCTCCAGTCCCAGATTTCCTACTGTTTGCTAGATATTTCCATCTAGATGCCCCATAGGCATCTTAATCTGAACACATCGAAAAAGGAAATCATTATCTTTCCTCTGATAAACATGTCTCCTCTCACTTTTCCTGTTTCTGTCAAGAGTCACCCAGATTTTCAGCTTTGGAGTCATTCACCTCATGGCCAATTAGTTACCAATTCTTGTCAATTCTACCTCCTCAGCAACTCTCACATCCATCTTCTTCACTCTACTAATTCCACAACTGGACACTCATAACACTTTTCACCTAAACTAATTATTCTCCATGCATCCAGACTCTTTTTTCTCCAATCTATCTCCCACATTGCTGCCAAATTGATATTGCTAAATTGCAATGCCTTTGCTCCAGAACTTCGGTGAATCCCCATGTCTTTAGGATAATACATAAACTCCTCTGTTTGGCATTTAAAGCCCTTCACAACTTGACTCCAGCCTGTCTTTCTAGGCTTATTCCCCCTTCGATTCCTCTTTGTTCCTGCCAAACTGGCCTACTTGCTATACCCCTTATACAACATTCCATTCCACATGTCCCTTCTCATAGGCTATCCCTCAATCAGGAATGCTTTGCCTTTTTACCTCCGCCTCTTGGTACCACTAGCCCTTTGTAAGGCTCAGCTGAAGTATGACTTCTAAGAGTCCTAATTCTCCAAGTCCTCTCTTGATTCTCCCAGTTGTTAGTACCCATTGCCCCAATCACTTTGTGACTATTTTGCATATATCCTGTATCTCCTCATCTGTAGGTGTGTTGTATCCTACCACCACTACCACCACCACCACCACCCAGAAAACTATAAGATCCTAAAGGGCAGAGATTTTCTCACTTTTGTATATAAGGTCCCCACACTTAGCACAGTGCCTGGCATATAATAAGCACTAGATAGGAAGATGGATTATATAGATAGATGATAGATAGATAGATAGAGAGATAGATAGACAGACAATATATGGATAAATAGGTGGATAAACAAATAATAAAGCTAGCATTGATCAATTGACCTATCATTTTTATTTATGTTGTCATTATTTTTACTATCTTCCAGAGGGCTGAACTGCAAGCAATGTGTGGAAGTTACAAAGAGGCTTGATATCAGAAAAAACTTCGCAACAATGAGACCTATTCAAAAAAGAAATGGAGGGAGCAGGCCCCTTTCTTCAAACAAAGGCTGGATGACCACTTATTTGGTATCTTAGAGTGAGGATTCCTTGGATTGGACCAAAGGATCACCTAAAGCTTCCTTTCAACTCGCAAATTGGGTGATTCTGTCTCTAAGTCTGGAAGAGAGAATTTAGTCTCCATGGCCAACACAGAAGGCCCTGTCAGTCTGAATAGCAGCCACAGAAAGAAGCTCTGTTCCCTTTAAGTCAATGACCTGGCTTTCCTTTCCCCAAGAGCTCATTTGTTCAGTGCAAAGCTTTCTTCCATCTTTGTCCCAATAGGAGACAAAGAGCCATTGACTTGAGTTGGCCGAATCAGGAAGATTATTGAACTTCTAATCACTTGGTGACTCTGCTTACAAGATAGAAAGTCAATAGGATATGATGTCCCTCAAGTCAAATTAATATAGCACAAGGGGGAAGGGAAGTCATCAGGCTGTCTTCCCTGCCTGTGAGCATTTGGAGAAATATGAAGTGTGGCACAGAGAGATTTTCCTCAACCATTTTCTATTGCTGGAACCCCTGAAATGCTGCAAAAAAAGTATTAGTGAGCCCCCAAGCAGAAACCTCCACTATCTCTTCTTCTCTCATCTCTTCTCCAAGTCAGCTGTCCAGGACTCAGAGCTCTTCACATCAAGCCATCATCCAATCCAAATCATAGAAGGTAGAGCTAAAAGTAATCTTAAAGACCATTTATCCCACTCCTCCCCTCCCCTCTGCATTTTACAGATAAGGAAACAGGCCCAGAGAGGTGAAGTGACAAAGTCATACAGCCAGTGAGGGATTCTAAACCACTGCTCTTCCCACTACACCACAATACCTCTTGTTTGTTTGTTCATATGTTTTCTTTCTGGGGAAAGTCTCAAATAAACAAAATATTATAACAAAATCAAGGATAAAATGTTTTTTATGAATAGATACCAAGTCATTTTTATCAAGTTTATTTCTCGAAACAATAATGTGAGATACATAGGGCTTATCCACATTTTACAGATTGGGAAACTGAGATCAAAAAATGACAATGACCTGCCTAAGGTCATGCTGGAATAAGAGGCAGATCTAAGACTCAAATTCAGTTCTTCTGATTCTAACTCCAATGTTCTTTCTACCAAATGACAATGTGTCTTTAGCCTATTTTAGAAAAATGATATAAATATTAATAATTGCATTTCCAAAGTAAAACTTTGCTGAGGAATAGGGATCACCTGCTTAACTCCTTCACAGAGACAGAGACAGAGAGAGAGAGAGAGAGAGAGAGAGAGAGAGAGAGAGAAGGTGTCTAGACCAATCCAGCCCTGAACAAAAATCTCACCACAACATCTTTGACAGTTATCCAGTCTCCACCTGCATATTACAAAAAAAAAAAATCTGTGTGTGAGGCAGCCCAATCCATTGGAGATGTCCTTGATCATTGGAACATTTTCTTTACATTGAACACAGCCCCACTCTTATTCATGGCCTCATCTCCTCTCACCTGAACTATTCAAAAGCCTCTGAGTTGGTCTCCTGACCTGAAGTCTTTCCCCTTTCCCATCTACTCTCTCCACAACAGAAAGAGACCTTTCCAAAGCATAGCTCTGACCAAATCACTCCTCTGCTTAAGACACTTCAGTGGCTCCCTAGATCAAATACAAATTCCTGTTTCGCATTTAAGGCCTGTCCTGGCCTGGTTCCAACCTGCCTTTCTAGGCTTCGTATACATTACTGCCCTTCCTGCACTTTACAGTCTAGCCAGACTGACTTTCCTGGTGTTCCTCACGCAGCACCTCCCATGTCCTGTCTTCTTGCTTCTACACCAGCCATGCCCCCTGGCTGTAATGCACTACCTCCTCACCACCATGTCCCAGCATCCTTAGGTTCCTTTAGAGCTCAATTCAAATGCCTCTTCCTCCCTGAGACCTTTCTAGATCCCCATGACTTCCCACTCCAGCTGCTGGCATCTCCCCACCTCACACCAGAGATGCCCCCTCATTCTTATTTGTCTGTATTTTCTCATATATATGTATATGCCCCTCAAACAGAATGTAAATTTCCTGAGGGCAGAAATTATTTTTTGTTTTGGTACTCCCAGTGCCTAACACAGTTCTATGGCCACATAATAAACACTTAATAAATGCTGATTGATTGATTGATTGATGAATCTGCCTCTCTGTTACATCTTTGGGGTCAAGTAGAACAAATCTTATCCCTCTTCCATTTGACAACCCTAATAATAATTGGAGATAGTCACCAGGCCATGTGCCCCCTTCAGACACCCTCAAGGTCTCTTTGGCCAGCTAAACATCTCCGGTTCCTTCAATTGCTCTTTACATGGCATTTTTCATGTTTCTCACAATGCTGTTTGTCCTCTCCTGAACACACTCTACCTCAGTATCAAAGGGCCTAGACTTAGAGCTGGAAAAGACCTCAGAGACAATCCAATACAATCCCCTAGAAAGACATTTAGATTAAAATTTTATTAAGTACTTATTATGTGCCAGGCATTGTGCTATCAACTAGGAATATAATAGAAATAAAAAGAAAGACAGTCCCTGCCCTCAAGAAGCATATATTCCAATTGGGGGAACAGGGAAGATAACACATAAAAGAGAGCTGAAAAGTGAGGGGTGGAAGGGGAAGGGCAGAGAGAGAGGTACATGAATGCTTGAGTTCAGGTGGAGAGGCAGCACAGGAGGTTGGAAGAGAGCATGGTGGCTGTGAGTGCTTCTTCAAATGAAGGTTTGAGCAAGAGCTCACTGATTGGAGGAAGACGCCATGTGGGAAGCATCACCAGTGTGAGAAGGCCAATGGGGAGGACATGGAGAACTGGTCCTGGGAGTCCTGAGGGCCAGAGAGGTTAAATTACTTCCTGGGCAGCACAAAAAGTAAGTAGGAGAGCCAGAATTTGAAGCCAGGTCTTCTAACTCCAAAGCCAGTGTTCTTTCCACCACACCACACCACACCAAACCACTTCTCACTGCATCACTGAATTATGCTGCCCAGAACCAATTATCTCATACCTTAGATGTGGTCTGAATAAGACAGAGCATGATGCAACTCCTACCTTCCTCATTGCGTGTACTACACCTCTCATAATATGTCTAGGCCAGGGGGCCAATTGTGGCCCCCTAGGTCCTCAAGTATAGCCCTTTGACTGAATCCAAACGTCACAGAACAAATCCCCTTAATAAAACTTGGACTCAGTCAAAAGGTGGCACTCAAGGACCTAGAAGGCCACATGTGGCCTCGAGGCCCAGGTTCCCCACTCTTGATCTAGGCTTTTCTTAGGCTCTTTAATCACTATTGACTCATGTGGAATTTGCAGTCCACCAAAGCCCCAGATCTATTCTTTCTCTGCTCCTCCTCCCAAATCCATTTACTTGGCCCATGTGAGTAGAAGCAAACTTCCCAATAAATGTAGTCTCTTTGGCATCTGATGCCCAAGTCTGGGGATGCCCAGGAGGCTTCTGCCAAATTGGATAAAATTCTCTTGCCCCTGAGCCCAGGCAGCACATGCTATCACCAACATAACCAAAGGAGAATGTGCAGGTTAGGAAGCTGGCTCCTACCTTCTCAGTATTTTTCTAGGAACAGACACCTCTCCCCCCTCCTAAATGAGCTGAACTGGCACTGGCCCATGTGATGTTTATCCCCACCTCCCCAATTTCCTGTATTTCCTTTTCTACAAATACAGAGGCACAAGGAATAATACTGAAAAGTAAATCCCCTGATGCCAAAGTTGTTGTTGGCTCAGACATGCATCTCATAGGTATTATGCAAATTGCATTACATTTAGACATAATGAAAACAAGGCGTCTGGCTCCCAGAAACACAGCTCAACCCAAGGCAACAACTAACTCAACTCCCCTCCCCTCTGCCCAAGGCCAGGAAGACACACAAACCCAGATCTCCCCTGCTCACAGGGTGAGCCACAGGCTGTGGCAAGGCCCTGCTGAAATCCAGCAGAGGGTCCCACTCCAATTTACTCCTTCCCATACATTCCCTCCCAATTATAGAATCTTCATTTTCCTCACATTCATCCAGGATGGGGTCCACAGTGAAACTTTGAAGCATACAGTAGTTTTCTTATTCCTAGACTTTGTCCTATTCTGGCAAGGCCATCTGTCATGGCCTGGAACCTGATTAAATAAATCCCAGCTGTGGAATACATAGTCAAAGAGGGTTTATATTTACAGGTGTGTGTGTGTGTGTGTGTTTACATTTTAAAAGAGAACTGGAAAAGCTTCAAATTCCTAAAGAATAAATCTCTAACAGTGACCTTTCTGGCACTGTAACAGGGTAGTTAGAAAGATTTTTTTTCTTTTTCAAAGCCAATTTTGGAGGACCAAAGGGTATAGGGATTTGGTGGGCTGGAATGTGTGCAGCTGCACGCAAAGTCCATGGCTTCTGGCTTCTACGACTGCACCCCAGAGTGTCCATAGTATTATTATCCCTTTGGGCTACCCTCCAACTTATACTCAGAGGTTGATACCCCAAGGGGATGACAACCATGAGTTTAAGGTATTCTATGGATCTCTACTCCTAAAACCATAGCTCATGAGCCCCTACCAATGTGTTTACCTTTTAATAGTCAGCCAGAGAACACAACTAGCTTGAAGTAAATGTCATAGTAAAAAAATTACTAAGTCGTGGCAAAACATCTTATCCAAAAAACTAAGCAGCTCTTTACCATAAATACCTGCAACGTCAGTGGGAAGAGTATGCCAGAGTTTACAAGCAGAGAGGCACACATGTGACCAAGGCAACTTACACCTTCCAGCCCAAGAACAGTAAAAGAACATTACTAGAAAGTATCGGGCAGTCCTATAGTGCTGTATGTATAAGTTGCCTTGGCTACATGTACTCTAAATATAAGATGTGTGTGTGTGTGGTCTGTCTAAATATACATACATACATACATATATATATATATATACATATATATATATATATATATATACATATATATATTATATATATATATATATATACATGACTTATAGGTGGCATTGAAAGATATTATTTA